AGTTTGAGTACCGCCCTGTTTCAATAATAATATTAAGTACTCGTGTTTGGCAACAACGGATATAATCCGCATTATCGGTTCATCGCATCGGAAACAAAAAAGCGAAAGAATTTGAAACGCTTATCACGATGTTTTTACTACAATTTTATTCAGTTGTATTCAGTCAATGTGTCAGTCGGTAACGCGTGAGTGAATAGTGGTGCTTGTTGCATGGCTCAAAAGAAATAAAAAATGGCACATGTTTACGAAAATGCTGAACTTGTGGACATGATTCTTATTTACGGGGGGGAGTCTTTACAAAATGCTGCCGCGGCATTACGGGTTTATGCGGATCGGTTTCCCAATCGAGTGCAACCAATCCCTCGTGCCTTTGTTAATGTAGTACAAAGGGTTCGTGAAGCAGGTGACTTAAGACCTCACAACCTCACAGGGGAGGGTATGCCGGTGCTCCAAGACCGTACGATCAAATACAGGTCCGCACTGAAATACGTGTCGGGAGGATACTTTATAAAACAAGGTAACATTTTTTTTTATTTCTACACACATATTTTGGTTTATCTTCCTTCTACAATCATTATCTGAAAATTAATGACTCAACTTCAAAGTCACCCTGTATAGCTTGATATCGGGCGATAGTTCCTTTTTGGCTATGCATGTTTTATTTAGAGCATAGTACTGTTTCGCAGCAGCATTTATTCTTTCATTTAGATCACTTTCCTGTCTTCCTAGTCTTCTACTATGGTTCCTAGATACTTACGCATTCTAGTCTATGTTCTCCGACTAGTAGGGCCGCATTGTGTTCAGTCTCGCTATTGCCATTAACTTAAAAAACTTCATTGCTGTTAACCGAAAAAAAAATAAATAAAACATTCTGAGGGACCTCGAGACATATTCCAGTCCATTCCACACAAAGCAATGTCTTTGATTGCGAAAATGAACATGAGACCAAAAAATTCACATCATTGTATGGACCCTAGACAAGACAAAGAAGGATGTCTGTAGACCATCTAGAGACCATCTCCAGACTGCCTATAGACAAATTGCGCAACGGGGTCTGTTGTCTTCTCAGTTTTCGAACCGGTGTTGATCGCATGTAGAAATGTTCGAAATCCTTGGAAGAAACTGTATCTGTTAGATCGTAATTATTTTGATAATGTATCTTTGTACTAAACAAGTACAGGAATACAGGGCTGTATATAATCACGTATAGTGCAGCAGCTCTGTGATTTAAACGAGTTCAATATAGCAACATAAATAGGAACATACGCGGGAAGAAATGCGGGACGTGTGGTATTGATTTTGAGCATCGATCGACGCAGTTTTTAGACAGGCCACAGGCGCACGGCTAAACAAATCTCATGAATGTCTATTTCCAATTTAGGCGTTCATCTAAAATAGTGCTTCGCTGCAACACCAACCCCGAACAAAATCAGTCAAGCTTTACACACTTTTCAAATTACTATTGAGCAACAAACAGAACATAAATCACTTTTTAAGTGGCAATCTGAATAGCTAATATATTACCCAGACTTAGATTTGTCACAAGTCACAATACTCGTATACATGGTGTCCCAGAAGTCGACGTCAAGCCGAAACCGGGTGATAGGCAAAGTCATAACAGCTATCAGAAAAATATTTAAAAAAATTGTATGTATGTGTTTTGAAAATTATAGGTCTTTGAGAAAAATATAGAAATTTCACACCCTACGGCAGTCTGTCAACTCCTGTTACTACAAATATTAACATTTGTTGGATTTTATTTTTACAATGTAATGATAAATAATGCATCTTCAAACTGGTGTCTCAACCTTACTGCCAACTTTTCTCGTTCGGGAAAAATTGCCACTTATTCCCCAACCAAGTATTCCAAAGTAAAACTTTGCTCAACTTTAACTTGCTGTACTGGAAAAAAATGTACTACGAGAGTTTGGCAAGTAACCTTAAAAGCTGGCGCATTTAATAAGGATTCCAAAATGGTATAACACTTAGAAGATTACTCGTTAACTTATGCACAATTTTTATTTGAAGAAAAACTGATGAAAATTTTTCAAAATTTCCTAATTAAACAGCGATTATGTAAACGCACAAGGACCCTTAAGGATAACTGTTTGCACAACAGTGGGCGTCAAAATGCTGCTGATGATGATTTACCTTTACAGCAAATGCTCAAACTGTTTTCCTTCAGCCGCAATACACGCTCGACATCTTCTTAAAAAAGATCGGGTTATTAAACGAGCGAATCCACGGTTATTAACAAACTCAGCTGCTTCCAAAAGTCTTTGTCGTAGCTCAGCTTCATTTTGAATCGGCTTGAAATACACTTTTTCTTTTACAGTTCCCCAGTAAAAAAATCTAACGGATTCAAATCTGGTGACCGGGCTGGCCACGGTATTGTACCAGACCGCCCTATCCATCTGCCTGGAAAGTTTTGATCGAGATACTGTCTCACTGAGAGTGCATGGTGCGCTGGGCAGCCATCATGCTGAAACCACATGTCCCTGTAAATACTCAGTGACACGTCCTCCAATAAATTTTCTAAATGATTTTGCAAAAAACCTAAATAAACCTCAGCAGTCAAAGTCTCTGAGAACTCAAACGGACCGATTATTTTACCATTTAAAATTCCTGTCCAATGGTTTATCTTGAAGCGATATTGAGATTTATCTTCTCTCATCAAATGTGCTACGTGCCACTCGTGTAAGTTATGCAGGTTCATGTACCCATCTTTCTTAAATGTGGTCTCATCTGACCATAAATTTTTTTCAAAGAACCGTGGATCTTCCCTGTGTCTTTCTAACATTGTGCGACAAAAAGGAACTCGTAAAGTAAAGTTAAGCTGCAGCATTAGGGTTGCATCTGCATTCCCCATAAATGAGGTGCATGTTAGCATATTCTTGTACGGTGTACACGGACAAGCGGCACTGCACAATCACACTAGCAAAGATAGTCTAAGGAAAGCAAATGTTGTTTTGAAGAGCAATTAAACAGTCCAAATCCAAATCACAAACGATCAACAGTCCAGTTCACGAATCCAAAATTAGTAACAGTACGAAATCAACAATCACGAACATGTAAAGATGCGCAGTAAACGAAGGAGTACTGATCGGTATCAAAGTGTGCAATAGCAAGTAAGTGATGTGCTTCATCCATACCACATACAGGGTGTTCAACCTCTCCTGCCCCGGGATTATGAGCCCCGAGTTGCTTTTTGTCGCACAATGTTAGAAAGACACAGGAAAGATCCACAGTTCTTTGAAAAAATTTTATGGTCAGATGAGACCACATTTAAGAAAGATGGGTACATGAACCTGCATAACTTACACGAGTGGCACGTAGCAAACTCACATTTGATGAGAGAAGATAAATCTCAGTATCGCTTCAAGATAAACCATTGGACAGGAATTTTAAATGGTAAAATAATCGGTCCGTTTGAATTCCCAGAGACTTTGACTGCTGAAGTTTATTTGGATTTATTGAAAAATCATGTACAAAATTTATTGGTGGACGTGCCACTGAGTATTTACAGGGACATGTGGTTTCAGCATTATGGCTGCCCAGCGCACTATGCACTCTGAGTGAGAGAGTATCTCGATCAAAACTTTCCAGGCAGATGGATAAGGCGGTCTGGTACAATACCGTGGTCAGCCCGATCACCTGATTTGAATCCTTTAGATTTTTTTACTGGGGAACTGTAAAAGAAAACGTGTCTTTCAAGCCGATTCAAAATGTAGCTGAGCTACGGCAAACACTATTGGAAGCAGCTGAGTTTGTTAATAACCGTGGATTCGCTCGTTTAATAACCCGATCTTTTTTAAGATGTCGAGCTTGTATTGCGGCTGAAGGAAAACAGTTTGAGCATTTGCTGTAAAGGTAAATCATCATCAGCAGCATTTTAACGCCCACTGTTGTGCAAACAGTTATCCTTAAGGGTCCTTGTGCGTTTTCATAATCGCTGTTTAATTAGGAAATTTTGAAAAATTTTCATCAGTTTTTCTTCAAATAAAAATTGTGCATAAGTTAACGAGTAATCTTCTAAGTGTTGTACCATTTTGGAATCCTTATTGAATGCGCCAACTTTAAAGGTTTCTTGCCAAACTCTGGTAGTACATTTTTTTCCAGTACAGCCAGTTAAAGTTGAGCAAAGTTTTACTTTGGAATACTTGGTTGGGAAATAAGTGGCAATTTTTCCTGAACGAGAAAAGTTGGCAGTAAGGTTGAGACACCAGTTCGAAGATGCATTATTCATCATTACATTGTAAAAATAAAATCCAAAAAAAGTTAATATTTGTAGTAACAGGAGTTGACAGACTGCCGTAGGGTGTGAAATTTCTATATCTTTTTCAAAGACCTATAATTTTCAAAACAGTATAGTATGCCTCCGTCACCATGATGTGACAGAAAGTAACACAGTGCTGTTAGATTGCAAAAGCAAATGTCAGATATCTAGGGGGGGAGCGCGACCGCGCTCCCCCTCTAAATCCGACTGTGGATGAGTTTATGTTATTAATATACATACCGTACATTTATACCAAACAATTATTAATCTCACATGGTGTGACATTGTAAGCTTACATTTCATTGAACATTTTGTATTTTTAAGCTTACACTTTTTCATGTCTAGTACTAATTCTCTTGGAAGAGGTTTCGAACCCGTTTTATTTGACATAGTGCCTGTACTAAGGTCCATTTCGTTTCCATTAAAACTGATCTCGCTCTGACTGGAACTCAAAGACCGGACAACAGTGGTTATTAAAGATTAACTTGCGGTTAATAGTGAGACGAGCACGCTATACGTATAACGAGGAGCAATGCGTGAGGGCCATGCTTTTTGTGGCGTAACGAACGAACATGCTGTACGATAAACAAATGATATGCTAGGTAGTAAAAGATGGTATGAGGTCGCTTGACTTGCTTTTTACTTTCGTGGTAGCACCGGAAAAAATTGGGATAGTGAACCACTCTAATTTGGAAAAAAAAATATTTTAATCTATCCGTCTTACCGTTTGTTTGTTGACCACCCTGGTGACAGCACACTTGTAGACGTCTCTGAGGTCGAGCTCGAGTACCGCCAGCTTGCCGGTGGGGTCAGTGTGAGGTCGACAAGCTGGTTCCGGATAGTCGCGAAGGCCTTCGATGTATATCTTCTTCGTCGCAGGGGAGATCGGCACTTCGATTCGCATCAGGTCTGAGGTGCATTTCACTTTGGGCTCCACTGAAACAATGAATTACACGATTAACTTAAGTTCAAGTGATTTATTCTGAATATTCCAGTTTTGACTGCTTTTGTTTTGAATCATGGTCAATAGTATCTGTATCTAGTAATGGTATTACTTGTATATGGATTTCGATGGAATGTTACTATTACGAGCCCCGTCCCACTTTAGTTGGTCCACTTCAAGATTTGTACCAAAATATGCATTTATAAACGAAACTATTTACTTCTAAAACAATTTATTTTCTCAAAAACGTTTTAGATACACTCTAGTCGTAAAAAATACATATTTGAAATCACTTAGACCTATAACTAATAGAACATCTGAACAAATAAACAATGTACGAATAAAAGTTAACAAAGCAACAATTGAAAGATTACCATTGGGTAACATCACCTTTATTTTTTATTACGGCTGACATTCTTTGGGGCATAGTGCCACAAAGTTTCAATAGGTGACAGATCTGGACTGCTAGAAATCCATTTCAAAAGTGGTACATTATTTTCTGCCATCCATTTTATAGCCTTTTTTGAGGTATGGCACGCTGCACCACCTTGCTGAAACACGAAATCTTGGTCGGATGTCAAACATTCTTCCATCACTGGTAAAAGCGATTCTTCTAAAATTGCCAAATATTTGTTTGTATCCACATTTCCATCAATAAAATGAAGTTTTCCTACACCTTTTGGTGACATACTGCCCCAGACCATAATGGATGCTGGAAATTTCATTTTTCTCTTCAGACAGTCAACATGGAATGCTTCATTTTTTTGCAAATTGAGCAATCTCCTACCCATCATATCCCACACGTGCTCAATTGGGGATAAGTCGAGAGATCTTGGTGGCCATGGTAACAATGTGACATCATTATGTTGAAAGAAGTCTATTGTGACTCTTGCAACATGTGGTCGGGCATTATCTTGCTGGAAAGTTGGATCTGCCAGGGTGTCAAGATAGGGTAAAAGATGGGGTTCTAGAACTTCGTGGATATAACGCTGCGCGTTCATGTTACCTCTAATGAAGATTAAAGGTGACCTGGAACCATAAGCTATAGCACCCCAAACCATAACTCCAACAGTGTGATGAACATGTCTTTCAACAAAAAACTGTGAATTCCTTCTTTCACCACGTTGCCTTCTAACCCTAGCACGACCACCGTGCATGCCTAAACAAAATCGAGACTCGTCACTAAAGACAATACTGTTCCATTCCTGATCCCAGAGTGACCGTTGTCTGCACCACTCAAGGCGATTACGTCGGTGTTCTCAAGTTAAAGGGAGGACCCAGTGTGGCCGGTATGAAAACAAGCCAAAACTTCTCATTCGTCGGTAAACACTTCGCTTGCCAATAGGTCTTCCGTGTTCTGCAAACCATTCATTTGCAATGGACCTGGTAGTGGAGAAACGGTCCCTTAAGGCCAATAATCTTAGGCAGCGATCTGTTGTTCTACGGCGGCGTCCAGTGCCCCTTGCTCTTTGCGTACGGCCTTTTCGAAGCCATGCCTGACAACACCTAACCACAGTGTCTATACTACTTTGCACTCTAACTGCAATTGCCCGAAAAGAAAGTCCAGCTTCCCGAAGTCCCACTATACGGCCCCTATCAAACTCACTAAGTTGACGAAATCGTACAGGTCTCCGTACTCTAGGCATCGTAACCGATCGTAAAGGATGTCAAGAACCAAAGTCCGCCAACGTTGATTCTTTACTGCGGCTGAAATATTCATTTTTAGAGCGTTAGTGAATTAAAAAAAAAGCAGTATAAAAACCGGAATGTCCAACTGATAAGGCTGAAAATTTTTTCACTTGTTATTTACAGTAAGATAAATACATTCACCAACTTTTATTAAAATAAAACCATTTAAACTGGGTGTTCGGATTTATATGTCACTTAGTATAGTTCTTGGCACGTTGTCCTGGAATTTGCGTCCACAACCTGTCGAAGATCCTCGTTGTTCATTATTTTTGGTCTCCCTGAGCGCGGTTCATCGCTCAAACTGAGATCTCCCAAAGAACATTTTTTGAACCACTTCTGCGGCATCATCTCCGAATGCGGCACATATTTTTCGCGCCGCCGCTGCAGCTTTTGTACCAAGTTTGTACTCATACAGTAAACAACTTCGTTTTATTCGTCGCCATTTTCAGTTATTAAAACTAGGTATGTAACAATTTTCAGCAACTTTTTATGTGTGTGAGAAAAGAAGGATTCATACTAAAATGACGATAGGTAACAAACAATCGCTATCGATCAACAACATCCATGGCAATGCGCGATATACAGCAACCGCACAAACTTATTTGGTTACCTGATATTTGACTCATCATAGTTATCCCCGTAGATTTACCCTTGTTGCTGGTCATCGCAATGATAATCTGCGTCTGAAGAAATTTCATTCAAGGGGAGGAGGAAAGTCATTTAAATGTTTTTTTGTTAATAATGTTCGTAAATTTTTCTCTTTACAAACTGATAACAGCGTTGGACCAGGAAGTACAGAGTTAACTTACTTGACGCAATTTTTTAGTTGGGTCTTACCACCTTGAAACGGTTTTAGTTAAAGGACGAGTCTTCCACATTTATGCTTGTCACTTTAAGTGTCCCAACTTCCTCGTCATGGGCGTCTATTTGAGTTTATCTTTGTTGATCTTCAATATAAAACTTGAAGATGAACAAGTGAACGTGCAGATACTCAACTTGATTTGGTGAAACAGCGAATGGCTAATCCCCAACCAGGTTTTACCCTTGTTTGTACATGTTTACTCCACTGCGCATGCTCAGTCGGTTTCAAACCGTTGGCAATGTGATGCTAGAACATTACTTATAAATATACTATTGAAATCTGAATGTAGCGTCAACTAGATGAATGTGTTAGCTTTTCCTCTCCTACTGTTTCTTCGTCTGCTGACTGTTGACAATCACGTAAATGTAAGAACTCAACCGAGCCACTGCGCCGTGCCGTCTAATTCGTATTTTTGAACTACTCGGACACAAAAATGTTAATTTCGCCTACGGGATATCATTCTCGGCTACTCGAATATTGTATTCCGAGCAAAGGCAACGGTATTGTCCGCTGCCGGTGCGTAGTTACTGCTTATTAACATTGTAAATTGGTACTAACGAGACCAGCTGGACACACACATCCACACATACAGGGCGTCCGATAATATATGAAATTCATTCGTTCTAGAATGACGATTCAAATAAATTTTGACGGCTCAGTAATTAAGTCGTAGTCCAGGGAATAGCTACTGATATACAGGGTGTTCCTTAATGATATGCGAATATTTAAGGGTGTAAATCTATATCTAGTTTGCTTTATAAACTATGGTTCAAAAATGTTTCCTTACAAGTTTAAGGAAAAAAAAATGGAAATTAATTGATATTTTCAGAACCGCTTCAGATATTTCACTGATATTTAGTACGTAGTGAAAGTTGATAAAGCTGCATATTTTTCAATGCAAAAATAATTTTCAGCTTTAAGAGTGGCGTGCGTACGAGTATTGACTTTTGCTAAATTAAAATTGTTTTTGAATTCCTCGTTCAATTGAAAACAAATGATCCCTCTACAATTGTTTTTCTTCGATGCGCCATTTTTGAGTAAAAAAATAAAAACCGTTCTATTGTCTAACTTGCAAAATTATTATTAATTTAATTGGAAAACTTAAACACATTAAAATTGCAAGATTTGGTTATTTATCTGAATGTTCAAGAGCTGTGTTACATTGTATGTTTTTCTTTGTGCGCAAAATAATAACATTTTAGATTTGGGTTAAAATAATGAAGCAATTGCGTATCGTCTGCAAATGACTGGACATGAGAATTATCAATACTTTTGCTTAAGTCGAACGTATATATGAGGAACAGACGCGGCCCCAATACAGAGCCCTGAGGTACGCCTGAGGGAATTATTGTCACTTGAGACATTTCTTGATTGAGAAAAACACACTGAGTTCTTTGATGAAGGTAACTGTCGAAAAACACTGTCAAGACCGATGTAATTTAATTTAGCAAGTAATAATTTATGATTGATGCTGTCAAAGGCTTTCGAATAGTCTATAGAAATTAAGGCTAGTGCCATTTTCTTATCTAAGGCACTTGAAATATTGTCTTGCAGATTAAGTAGGGCAGATGTTGTACTATAATTTTTTTTAAATCCGGATTGAGTGTCGGGAAGTATAAAGAATTTTTCTAGGTAAGCGGTCAATTGGAACTTTATAATTTTTTCTAAAATTTTGGATAACATTGGTAATAAACTGATAGATCTGAGATCATTATACTCAGTGGGTTTCATTTTTTTAGGAATTGGAATAATTAGAGCTTGTTTCCATGTGTTTGGAAAGCAGCCTTTTTCCAAACAGTCGTTAAAGATGTGGACGATGTGATGGAGAATAACTGGCAGGCAAAGCTGGATCATTGACAGGGATATACCATCAATTCCCTTCGCATCAGATTTTAGGCTCCCTATTGCCTGTAATACGTCATTTGAACTAATCTTATTCAATGAAAAAATATATTCAGAGCTCAATTTATTTTTGAAATAGTTTTCGCAAACTAGTGAATCAACAGGTTTATAGCTATAAACAGACATAAAATAATCATTAATTTTGGTAGGGTCATTAAAACTTGCCGGAAGGGTTGGTTTACTACGAAAATTTATATCAAGTTGTTTGAGAAACTTCCATAATTTTTTTGAATCATTTTCATCTGCCAAATTTTCGATATATTAACAAGATTGTAAAAACTAAATAATGAAAAATATGTCAAAGTTTATATAGCTTTAATATAGTTTATAAAGCAAACTAACATTAGTTTTTAATGTAGATTCACATACTTGAATATCCGCATATTATTAAGGGACATGCTGAAAATGATCAGGATCCTCTGAATCGTTCAAAAACGCTTCAACCGCTATACCAAAGGGCTTTGCTCCTCAGACCCGCCTTCCATTCTAATCGTATCAAACTTGGTACATCCAGAACTGGTCGATACGACCGCTCATTTGTC